GTGTTCCAGGTGTCAATGGGCGACGCCGATTGCTTACCATCAGGTGATCCGTCTGCTCGTTTACCGGGTTATGCCATAAAAAAAGACGGATCACCCGGTGGTAAGCAACCGGAGCCGCTTCAAGACACTCGAACCTCACTCACACGACGAAACACGACGCAAGCGTAGTTTCACGTCGGTTTTCTGTGAGGCCGAGGTATCACTCCGGTCGAGCCGGTCTAATTATACCTAAGCATGGCACTCCCAATCTTTCAATTATTTTGCTTTATTCTAGGATGTGGTGGACAGATGTGCTTAAAATGTAACACTTAAGTTTACGTCTGTCTCGTTGGTCGAGTCATCACAAACCCAACTATCAAGCTAATCTTTCGAGAAATCGTTCAGTTCCCGAGTCGATCAAAGCGTGCAATAACGCTTTTATTATTTTGGATTTTTACAAAATACCAGTAAAGACATGGAGTTTAGAATTCTGCACGATGTACAATGGACTCAAAATGTACCTTTGCCAGGCTTTTCATAGATTAAAGGATGTAACTCTATTTATGACTAGCTTCTGTCAGCGGCTTCGCCCGCATTCCCGTGGGATTTATAAAAGCGTATCTGTTATTCCAAACTATAAGCGAAAGTTTGTGAGGATGTAGGTATATGTGTGTCATACACACGCACACACACACACACACACATCCTCACAAACTTTCGCTTATATAATAATATTATTATGATAATATGTGTATTTTGTAAGTATGTATAAGGTACCGACGTTTTGATAACATCATTCGCTTGACTAGACATTATTAGATGCTATGATTCAAAGCACTTCATTACTCATTCAATCCAATACAAAAACTTAATATAATCAAGGACGGCATTGTTAATGCCATTGTAAAATTACCGCGTTAAGTTGTGGCTACACCTATGGTAAACGACCATTATCGCGATAATTAATAGCATTTCCCGTTAGTGTGACCACGGCATTACTGACTGAAAACCACCCCGTTCTTACTCCTGCCCTTCGATCCAGAGCCCCGGCAACCCGTTAAGTCTTCGCGCGGTTCCGTATCGGCATCAGCCTTATTGGGCCATTTCCATGGTCGTCTGATGGCTCTTTGAGGCGCGCGCGGAACGTGACGCGCCGTACGCTCGGGTCTGAATGGACGGCAAGCTACAGTTTAACTATAGACTTCCTCTACGTAAGTGTAAGTCAGTCTTCACACTTAGCATATGAAATCAACAGAACGCTACTAAAAAACTGATAAGTAGATTGAAAAGTTAAGTAAGGCTTAGCCTATCACCTTTTATTTTACGAAAGAATTATCATCATCATCATCATCATCATTACCAGGCTATTAATGCGACTGCTAGAAAAGCCTCTTCTCACACTGGAAAGGTTTGAGCATTAATCACCACGCTTGCTCAATGCGGGGTGACGATTTCTTATACTTATAATTAAAGTACAAGCCCAGGTTTCCTCACGATGTATTCCTTCACCGTTTGTCAGTGGCGTCTAAATAATCTTAGAAAGTACATATAACTCGGAAAATGTCACATTGGTACTTGCCGTTGGTAGGTTTTGAAACGTGCTTGAGAAGCGGCCGTCTTAACGCTAGAAAGGCCGATATTTTATTTACTTAATTAAAAAAAAAATCGCTTCCCCCGTAAACTGCCGCCGTGCCAATTTTGTCCGATAACATAATATATTGCAATGTTTCTTCCTAAATATATCATAAAAGTGAATTAAGAAATTCGTAACGTATGAAATAAATAAAATGTTTGTCCCTTTTCACAAAAAAAAACGCTTAAAATGTATTAATTGTATCAGAACTACACAGAACAGGGTGCTTACTCTTGAAACCAATCTCAATTTCAATCCAAAAAAAACTCCGAAATTATGCAATGTCAAAACTATACAACCCTTATCGTAGCTGCTAAAGTAGCATTTAGAGTACGGAATATAAAACTGAGTGCACGGTTGGTGCGGTGGCTGGGCAACCGGCTGCCGTGCAACGTGTCGCGGGCTCGATTCCCGCACGGAACAATACTTTGCGTGATCCACAAATTGTTGTTCCGGGTCTGGGTGTCATTGTGTATGTGAACTTGTATGTTTGTAAACGCACCCACGACACAGGAGAAAACCCTAATGTGGGGCAAGGTTAAAAAAAAAACGTAATACCATTTAGTTCATGAAATATCCACGCAATACTGATGCAAAAGGCGCTAGTGTTACAACTCAAGAGTATGGAATTTCACAATGTCAATGTCGATCGATCGGAATTGGATTCAAGACTAAGCACGCAGAAAAGATATTTATGGACGATCAAACTTGCAATTGGGACAAAATTGGTACGTTTAACACTAGAAAGGCCGTCTTTTCAAGTGTTAAACCTCCGGGGCATCACGACGTTATGAATGAATAAGTAAAGAAAATTTAACTCCCATCTACAATACAAGAGTAGCAATATCATTTAAAACCATGAAAGTAAATTAAACTACACAGCGCCACAAGTGGATTTGCAGTGAATTAAAAATGTGATAAAATATTCTTCCTTATTTCCACTTCACAACAGAATTAAATTGATTGTTAAGGCATTGGCTGCCAATAAAAAACTATTGAAGGCAAATCCTCCGCTAATGTCGGTCACCAGTGACTGCCATGGCGTTTAACGTGTTAAGTAGTACTTCCAACAAGAAATTCCACTAAAAGCTTTACTACTTCGCTTTGTACTCCAAATTGGACCTTAGTATAATTAAAATAAACTTGCAAATAACATTCGAATGGAATGAATAATGTTTCGTGTTATAAAACGGAACTTATTTCGTGGTGTTTCAGTTAGGGGGTGTTCACAAGTGTTTATATTTATCACACAGATTGTTGTTTGTTTTTGTTGGCTACTACTGTTAGTGAGTTTGTTGTAGTACAACGTCTTAGGTTTGATTCTAAAGGGTGTTAGATTTATTTAATTATTACTAATAATTTTTATGGTAAAATAAATGGCGTTCTTTCTTTGTTCTTTCTAAAATAATGATCATTATCTCGAGTTAAAGAATATGATAAAATCATTAATTGCGGGAGAGCCATGCTTCGGCACAAATGAGTTGGCGTGAAACAATGCTTCCGTTTTGCTTCGTCACGTGAGTGTGTTTGCCGGAGCCCCTATTACCCCCCTCCCCCCGTCCTCAATTTTCTCACTTGTGTGTGTATTTGTGTTCCAAGTGTCCATGGGCGATGGCGATTGCTTACCATCAAGTGATCTTTCCGCTGGTTTACCGGCTTGTCCAATAAAAATTCTGTCCGCTATCTGAAAGTAGCTACACCAATTTGGCTACTGATTTTAACAATCCTTGTAATAAAATAAGAATCAAGCATATTTCTATTCACATATTATTAGGAAAACGTCCAAAATGAGCCATATTCATCTACGTATATCAACGTGTCCAATAAATATGGACTCGCCCTAAAAGAGCGATGGTACCCAAGTCCTGTTCAAACAAGTTTCAAAGAATCGTAATTGTGTCAATATGCCTTCTAAATCAATTTTATTGTTTCATATTGACACAAGCAAAACGTTTGGGAAATAACAACTGTTACGGAACATAATAACACGGTTTTTTAACTAAATTAGGGGAAAAATGAACTGTAATAATAATAATATTAGGCTCGCTATTGCTTGAAGGAAGACGTAGAAGTATTACGTTAGAACCATTTTTCTTGTAATATTTTGTCGGTGTCAGCAACATAACTCGCTCAAAAATAAGTTCTATTTTTAAAAAAGTAAAGAATTAAATATTTCTTTTATGTAATAAGAATTGTAATCAGCCTGATCATTTAATTCTACCAAAGAGAGTTCGATATCGATAACTGGAAACAAAAAGTATCTACGTTTGCAAAGCACCTGGCACAACGATTTTAGTACAACTGTTGAGATCAGTACAACCGCAAATCCTGATTACAATTTGGGGAATAAATCAATTAGCATCATAAAGCCAACGTCACATTGGTACTTGCCGTTGGTAGGTTTCGAAACGTGCTTGAGAAGCGGCCGTCTTAACGCTAGAAAGGCCGAGATTTTATTTACTTAATTAAAAAAAAATCGCTTCCCCCGTAAACTGCCGCCGTGCCAATTTTGTCCGATAACATTTATTGCAATGTTTCTTCCTAAATATATCATAAAAGTGAATTAAGAAATTCGTAACGTATGAAACAAATAAAATGTTTGTCCCTTTTCACAAAAAAAAAAACGCTTAAAATGTATTAATTGTATCAGAACTACACAGAACAGGGTGCTTACTCTTGAAACCAATCTCAATTTCAATCCAAAAAAAACTCCGATATTATGCAATGTCAAAATTATACAACCCCTATCGTAGCTGCTAAAGTAGCATTTAGAGTACGGAATATAAAACTGACTGCACGGTTGGTGCGATGGCTGGGCAACCGGCTGCCGTGCAACGTGTCGCGGGTTCGAATCCCGCACGGAACAACACTTTGTGTGATCCATAAATTGTTGTTTCGGGTCTGGGTGTCATTGTGTATGTGAACTTGTATGTTTGATGTTTGTAAACGCACCCACGACACAGGAGAAAACCCTAATGTGAGGCAAGGTTAAAAAAAAACTTAATAATAATAATAATAATAATAATAATAATAAACACTTTATTGTACACCACTTACAAAAGACACGAACAAGAAAATAGTAGGTAGGAAAAAAAAAAAAAAAATAGTTTTGGCATGTTGCACAATGGGCGGCCTTATCGCTTACAGCAATCTCTTCCAGGCAACCTTAGGATGGATAAATAACCGTGAGAGCAGATACCATGTGGGTAGTTCATAGTGTTGAATTAAATACAATGGATATGACAGAACAGTTTAGATACATACATACAATATGTACACACATACATACATGCCTACATACTCATATATACATATATATATACATACACATACATACACAAAATCAGATACATACATACATACATACGGATATGCGGTAGCAGTTACTCTATTGAATCTGTGTTAGATAATGATCTTTTACTTGTCTTTTAAACGAATCCAAAGATTGCGCCCGTCTTATTGATAATGGAAGTGCGTTCCACAGTCGAATGGCTCCTACAACAAAGGATTTGTCATAAAAGGCAGTCGTATGTGTTGGCATCTCCAATCTCAAATTCGCAGTAGACCTCAAGTGTCTTGAATGTGCGTCATGAAGGAACTTAAAACGTTCTTTGAGATAAGAGGGCGTAGCAGGATTGTACAGAATACTGTAAAGAAGTGACAGGATATGCGTATTCCGGCGAAGACGGATAGGAAGCCACTTGAGCTTGTTACGGAATTCCGAGACATGGTCATATTTGCGCAAGCCAAATATGAATCTTATACAGAAATTTTGGAGACGCTCAAGTTTGTCCAGTTGTGCCTCTGTTAGATCAAGGTAGCAGGCATCAGCGTAGTCCAAGATGGGAAGAAGGAGAGATTGAGCAAGCGCAGTTTTAGTGGCGATTGGTAAAAAATTGCGAAGTCTTCTTAAGGACGCCGCCGATGCAAAGATTTTGCGACTCAGTTCTTGAATCTGTGGAGCCCAGGACAAAGTGCTGTCAAAGAGAATACCCAGATTTTTGACAAATTTACTGTACGGGATTGTAGTTCCATCAAACGTGACCGGTGGAATATGCGTCCAGTTAATTCTAGCTATCTGTCTGGGGCTGCCGATAACAATGAGCTGAGTCTTTGCTGGATTCACTTTTAACCCGTAAGTCGAGCTCCAGTTGGATATTGAAGTCAGGTCGGCATTTATCATTTTGACTGCTTCCAAGAGTTCTTCGAGCGGTGCCTGCGCGTAAATCTGCAAATCATCTGCCATTACCATTTAGTTCATGAAATATCCACGCAATACTGATGCAAAAGGCGCTAGTATTACAACTCAAGAGTACGAAATTTCACAATATCAATGTCGATCGATCGGAATTGGATTTACGAGTAAGCACGCAGAAAAGATATTTATAGACGATCAAACTTGCAATTGGGACAAAATTGGAACGTTTAACACTAGAAAGGCCGTCTTTTCGAGTGTTAAACCTCCGGGGCATCACGACGTTATGAATGAGTAAGTAAAGAAAATTTAACTCCTATCTACAATACAAGAGTAGCAATATCATTTAAAACCATGAAAGTAAATTACACAGCGCCACAAGTGGATTTGCGGTGAATTAAAAATGTGAAAAAAATATTCTTCCTTATTTCCACTTCACAACAGAATTAAATTGATTGTTAAGTAGTACTTCCAACAAGAAATTCCACTAAAAGCTTTACTACTTTTCTTTTTACTCCAAATTGGACCTTAGTATAATTAAAATAAACTTGCAAATAACATTCGAATGGAATGAATAATGTTTCGTGTTATAAAACGGAACTTATTTCGTGGTGTTTCAGTTAGGGGGTGTTCACAAGGGTTTCTATTTATCACACAGATTGTTGTTTGTTTTTGTTGGCTACTACTGTTAGTGAGTTTGTTGTAGTACAACGTCTTAGGTTTGATTCTAAAGGGTGTTAGATTTATTTAATTATTACTAATAATTTTTATGGACAGTAAAAAATAAATGGCTTTCTTTCTTTGTTCTTTCTAAAATAATGATCATTATCTCGAGTTGAAGAATATGATAAAATCATTAATTGCAGGAGAGCCATGCTTCGGCACAAATGAGTTGGCGTGAAACAATGCTTCCGTTTTGCTTCGTCACGTGAGTGTGTTTGCCGGAGCCCCTATTACCCCCCTCCCTCCGTCCTCAATTTTCTCACTTGTGTGTGTATTTGTGTTCCAAGTGTCCATGGGCGATCAAGTGATCTTTCCGCTGGTTTACCGGCTTGTCCCATAAAAAGTATGTCCGCTATCTGAAAGTAGCTACACCAATTTGGCTACTGATTTTAACAATCCTTGTAATAAAATAAGAATCAAGCATATTTCTATTCACATATTATTAGGAAAACGTCCAAAATGAGCCATATTCATCTACGTATATCAACGTGTCCAATAAATATGGACTCGCCCTAAAAGAGCGATGGTACCCAAGTCCTGTTCAAACAAGTTTCAAAGAATCGTAATTGTGTCAATATGCCTTCTAAATCAATTTTATTGTTTCATATTGACACAAGCAAAACGTTTGGGAAATAACAACTGTTACGGAACATAATAACACGGTTTTTTAACTAAATTAGGGGAAAAATGAACTGTAAAAATAATAATATTAGGGTCGCTATTGCTTGAAGGAAGACGTAGAAGTATTACGTTAGAACCATTTTTCTTGTAATATTTTGTCGGTGTCAGCAACATAACTCGGTCAAAAATAAGTTCTATTTTTTTATAAGTAAAGAATTAAATATTTCTTTTATGTAATAATAATTGTCATCGACCTGTTTATTTAATTCTACCAAAAAGAGTTCGATATCGATGACTGGAAACAAAAAGTGTCTACGTTTGTCTAGCACCTAACACAACGATTTTAGCACAACTGTTGAGATCAGTCCAACCGCAAATCCTGATTACAATTTGGGGAATAAATCAATTAGCATCATTAAGCCAAGGATACATCATTATCATCATCATGTTAGCCACAGGACGTCCACTGCTGAACATAGGCGTCCTCTAATGACTTCAAGATAGGCCGGTTGGAAGCGACCTGCATCCAGCGGTTCCCTGCGCCCTTAATCAGGTCGTCTGTTCATCTTACGGATGGACGTCCTACGCTGGCCGGTATGTGGCCTCCACTCGAGAAGCTTTCTGCTTCAGTGGCCATCGGTTCAGCACGTTATGTACTTAACCTATCCACTGTCACTTCAACTTGCTAATCACTTCACTTCAACTTGCCAAGAATACAATAGGGGACAAATGTCGTACAAAAAGTGTCGCCGTCGCCGCCGACTTTGGGTGAAATATCACTACGTTGCCCGACTTCGGTCGACCTGTCTGGCAAATCCTGCTTACAGAATAGTATCACTAAAAAAATCTAACCATATAAAAAAAAAAACAATTACAATTTCAAGGTCAAAAATCTCAAGTTCGTTGCTACCTGTACATTAATATATGTGTAGGTAAGTAGATACAATAAAGGTCATAAATAATTCAGATTTTTAATAAGTGTAGCGTTAAGGGGTGCCAAAATGAGACTTCATGAATAAAACCTAGCGTTCGGAAGGAAAATGATGAACCAAATATGTGCTTCAATTTTTTGTATACATTTTGGAAGAAAAGATGGAAATTGATACAGCTGTGGCCTTCTCAGATAGTAGAAAAAGCATTGAATAGATAATATTATCATGATTGAATAATTGAATAGAATTATCTAGAGAAATGCTTGTACAAGCTGTTAATTTTACTTTTTCATTTTCGACATGTTGTTATGTTAGGTTAGGTTAGGTGTATGTACTTATTTTAGTTGATGATTTTTTGTGAGCTGTTTTTTTTTTTTTATAATTGATGGGGCGACGTTTGACCACTATCTCACCTGATGGTAAGCGATGATGCGGTCTACGTTGGAGCACGTCGTCCCATAAGCAACCTATTCACTCGGGCCTTGAAGACTCCCAGGTTATACCCTTCAGGAAATACAGACTCTGGCAAAGAATTCCACTCTTTAGCAGTACGCACAAGGAAGCTTGAAGCGAAGCGCTTCGTGCGTGTGGGCGGAACATCTACCATGAATCGGTGACGCTTCGCGGATTGTCTTGTGGTACGATGATGGAAAGGACTAGGGGGAATCAAGTTGTGCAATTCCCCCGCACACTCCCCGAAATGTATCCGGTAGAAAACCGGATGGTATTTAAATTGTAGCACGATCAATAAGTGTTTCTTAAAAGAGCTAATTGTTATCTGTGTCATCGTCTCATATCTATCCACTGTTGGCCATTAGTCTCTATAATTGAACAGCAACGGCTTCGATCTGGATTTATCTATATCAAAATTTATATACATACTATATAAAAATGAATCCCTTTTCCCCTGGTCACGGCATCATGCATGAAGGGCTGGACCGATTTCACTAATTCTTTTTTTGTTAGATTTGTTATTATTAGGAGAATGTTTTTAAGATAGAAAAAAATCCTGAAAATCCTATGGAAACGGGAGAAAACGGGATTGCGCGTACGAAGTCGCGGGTTGAAGCTAGTAATATATATTTTTTATATAAGTTTGAAATGGCTATTGGCCAATCTGTCTTGAGCAAGCGTAGTCATTTATGTTCAAACCTTTTCCGTATGAGAAGAAGCCATTGCTCAGTAGTGGGCAATTGTAAGGTGATGATGAGTTCGGTCTCCACACTTTGCGTTAAGTGTGGAAGAGCTATGCTTCGCCACAAATCAGCCGGCTCGACCGGAGTGATGCAACGGCCTCACAGAAAACCGACGTGAACAACGCTTGCGTTGTGTTTCGTCGTGTGAGTGGGGTCACTGGAGGCCCAATTACCCCCGCGCTTCCACAATCTCGGAATCACTGAATCCTCAAAAATCCTCACATTCCTAATCCCTAAAAGGCCGGTTATACACTTGTAACGTCTAGTGTTCCAGGTGTCCATAGGTTACGCCAAATGCTTACCATCAGGTGATCCGTCTGTTCGTTTACCATAAAAAAATACCACAACTTTACCTGCACTATTAGATAATTATCTGTTACTCCTCTGGTGTAGCGGGTGTCTATCGGCGGCGCTGATCGCTTACCATCAGGTGATCTATGTGCTCGTTTCAGTTCATCATCATCATCATCAACAGCCTATAAATGCCCACTGCTGAGCAAAGCCTCTTCTCACACGGAGAAGGTTTGAGCATTAATCACCACGCTTGCTCAATGCGGGTTGGCGATTTCAAACTTATAATTAGAAATTATAAGTCCAGGTTCGTATTTACATAAGTCTTGAAGTCTTATATCTTAGTCTCTTATAAATGCATTCTTACATTTTTGTTTGTTTTTACTTTTACTATTTGATCTATACATTTTTCTAATCACACCTTTTCACACACATACGCACGCATACACATATGCGTGCAGAATTTATTATTTTTATCTATTTAATTTCATATTTAAATCTATTTTCTTTTCCTTATTGAGGGGCGGTACCGCCGTCCGTGAGTCACTGCAGGGTGCCACCTGAAAATCAGCGTTGGGCAGGAATGCTCAACTATATGCTGAGGTGGAGGCCCTTTTGACATGTGCACACGCAGTATTATATTATTTATATTATGGTGTTTTTTTTGTGTATTTAATTTGTTTGTATGTACATTATTTTCTTATATTTTGATGATTTTTATTATTTTCTTTATGCTTTTATGTTTCCTTTTGATATTATGTATTTGTGTAAGTATGTACTTGTATTTTTTTTTTTTTTCGATGTTTTTCCTTCACCGTTTGTCAGTGGTGTTTAAATAATCTTAGAAAGTACATATAACTCGGAAAAAGTCACATTGGTACTTGCCGTTGGTAGGTTTCGAACCCGCACCCTCATGCATGAGAAGTGGGCGTCTTAAACCTCCGGGCCACCACGTTTCAGTTCAATTCCATAAAAAATACTTATACAAAAAAGATGCACTCCTGCCTGGACGTTTTAGATCTCATAACATTAAGCACTTTTCAGTATTCCCCGTTTTGTTGTTAAGTATCATTCTATAACCAGGACTCACTTACTTTTATAGGTAGGTATTTTTTTTTTTAAGGGGGGAAAATCATCTAATGACTGCTCCCGCCTGGGTGAGGCGGGAGGGAGTGTCAGACTCTTACTGACTAAAAACCACCCCGTTCCTTCTCCTGCACGTCGAGCCCGAGCCCCGGTTACCCGTTAGGTTCTCCGCGAAGTGCTAACTGGGTCAAAGGAGATTTTAAAAATGTAAGTGGTACTTCCGAGAATCATAAAGTTTTGTCCAGATGGACCATTGTTTTCATAATCGCAGTTCAGTTTTATGATCAAAAATTGTCTTTGCTCTAGTCTATAACAACATCCTTAGTAACAATATTACCTAACGCAAAAAGGATATCTATAATCTAATTGGTAGTTGTAAAGATTTGAGAGTCAGATTAACGTTCAAACCCTCGGTTTCAAAGACTTGCTTAAGATAGTTTAATAGCGATAGTATTCTTTAATCCTATCTAGATAAATACGTTTTTTCTTCTTTTCAAGTAGGAAAGTTGGCAATTTTTTTAGGTCTGGTCAGTAATGGTGAAATATGTCGGTCAATTACATTTTTTTTATGGCGTAAGCTGATAAACGAGTAGACGGATCACCTGGTGGTAAGCAATCATGGACACCTGGAACACCAAGCCTCGAAACTAGTAGAGCATTTCTCAGTATATTCACGTGAGTAACCCGCGATTTTTAGTTAATTTAGTACGTCTCACGATAGTTATTATGTTATTATTATGTACGATAGTTATTAATGTTGGTAAATGATGTATATATAGCTTTTTCTTTATTTGTTTCTATATATTATTAGTTTAGTTGTATTGGTTTGTTTGATATTATGTTTAGTTTAAGTTCTTAGCTGTCACATTAGGGTATATGATACCCTGAAATGATAGATTACGGTTTTTAAATACAAATAAATAAATAAATAGAACAAAAACGTATTACGTATTACTGGGTTTTTAAAAAATTCTCAGTAGTAGCACGGAGTCTGAAATTTTACTCGGTGTATGGCAATAGGCTCACCCTCTATTACATGGGACTCGTAACATAAATAGTGAAAAGTGGATGTCACATTGTACAGTGGCACTAAGTGCCGTAATGTGCGCCGCTGCCTACCGCTTCGGGGATAAAAATGCGTGACGTTATGTTATGTGAAAAGTGAGATAAATTGTATCTTATCTTATCTTCTGTAGCTACACCCGCGTTGCCGTGGAATGAAAAGTGGGCTATGTTAACACCTGCCTCGGTCCAGACCTACTACGGTTCCAAGTTTCATCTGGATCCTTTCAGCCGTTTTGACGTGAAAGAGTAAAAAACACACACACACACAGACACATCCTCACAAACTTTCGCATTTATAATATTATAGTAGGATAGGTTTTCGTTGAATGATGAGCTAAACAAAGGTTTCTTTACGCATTTTAACGTGATCCCTAACAGGCAGTGAATCAATTAACAAGACCCACATTTTTACTGACATAGTTATGTAATCTATGTAGATTTTTCCAAAAAATCTCATCACGTTTAGTACAAGCAGCTAACGTGTTGTGAAAGAAACCAAAATAAGTAAAATGCAACATTTTTCTGTAAACAAAGTTCAATGCTTTCGTAATACCTTATCGAATGTTTTCATGCTAAAGGTTAGTTCTTAATCGGTACTTTTATTGAAAGCAGAAATCATTTAATGACTTCTCTTGAAGCGAGTGACAGTGTCTGACTGTTACTGACTATAAACCACCCTGTTTATGCCTCGAGTCGGATTCACTACTTGTACATATCCACAGCTTGATACACGTTTGGCCACTCTCAGTAACTTATTTATTAGTATTTATAGACTACTACTAGACATAGAATTTTGTAATTAGATTCATGAATAATGTCCCATTGTTTAGTGGATAGACTAATAACATTGACTATAACAGTTGTTCTGGAGTAAATTTAGAATTTTCAATTTCTTTAATGATAAAAGATGAACATAAGGCTTAGGATTCACAACGCGTGCCTGCCGCGGATGCGAGCCAGCGCAGCATTTGTAAAATTTGCACGTATACGACGCGATTTACGCCCGTGGCGTGTGCGCCTATTTGCGGGTTCCGTAGCCGCGGCGGGCTGCACAAGCGCGCTCTGCAGTTGGTTGGCGGGCACCAGTCTTTTAGCCCATCTTACGATTATCAACCGCCAAGTTTTTGGGCGATAATTGCGACCGAGGCAGATGCGTAACCGCAGAAAACTGTGGTCTCGTGAGTCTTGATATTAAAACTCCATCCCGCCACTGTAGCGGGCACAGGTGACATTTGCGTGGTCAGTCCTTAGCGTAAATGAACATATAAATGCATAATCAGTGTTTCAGCTTTGTTAAGACGACTAAAAACTTATCATGTACAGTCTTCTCACACATTATGACTATGCCCTTACATTTTCATATCAACATGACTTACGCGTGATCCATTACCTCCGCACACGTCAGTGAATCATTTTCTTCTGAAGTTGGCAAATTATATTTTCCATTCATAACCTCGTTATTATTAAGCTAAACTCTGGGAAATATTAAATTACTATCTCCTATATTGAAATCACTTTCAAATATATCTTGTATTCCTATCTTAGTTAGATTAGAAGTTTCATATTAATCAATTAGTTTGTTATTTGAAGTTGATGAATTCTGTATAAAACCAGAAGTACTATTAACTTTATAAAAGAAAAATTAATTCATTTGGAACAAGACAATCAAGCAGGAGACACAGTTGAAGACAAAAAAACACAAATTACAATTGCAGATAAAATACGCGAAAACAATGACATTGAAAACAATAATATTGATGTTAGTTTTAAGCCAATGCAGTAAAAGTACAGAAATAGAAATGAAAGAAGAAGACATAGAGATTAATGAAATTAAATATAATGAGCTGGATGAACATACACTAGTTACTGATGCAGCCATATTTCCTTACGTGGTAGCTGTTCTGAAGATGTCCAGGTATCTAAGTGCTGGCGCTCTGATTGATGAGAATTGGGTGCTAACTGCTGCTGATGCCTTGTTTCTGTAAGTACTAATTTCATTGATTCAATATCAACTGTCCATATCAAGATTATAGTTCTCCTCCAGATAAGAGGGTTTATCATTAAAGAGGTTAAATAGCTCCGTTACTCACACAGTGAAACACAATGTGAGCCTTCGGTTGCATACGGTTTTTCTGTGAGGTTTTTTAATGGGACAAGCCCGCCATAAACTACCAAAACTGCTGCAACTCCTGTAAGCCAGGATCTACAGTAGATACAACCATGAAAACACCGGAACACTGAAGGAACACCGGGAACACAGGGACATGACTGTCTTGGAAACAGCAACGAAATATATCATAAGATATTATTAGAGGAGATGAATAAAAAAAACGATAACTTTCTGCGATGTTGTATATTATTACGCTCGCATGGCTTTCACATACTTAGAACTAGCTTCTGTCAGCGGTTTTGCCCGTGTTCCCAGGATTTTTTTTAAGAGGGGAAAATCATCGAACGACTGCTCCCGCCTGGGTGAGGCGGGAGGGAGTGTCAGACTCTTACTGACTAAAAACCACCCCGTTCCTTTTCCTGCACGTCGAGCCGGAGCCCCGGTTACCCGTTAGGTTCTCCGCGACGAGTTCCCAGGAAAAAAATTACTCCATGTGTTACAGACTATAATCTGTCTCAGTACTAAACATGCGAATCCGTCCGGTAGTTTTGTGGTGAAAGAGTAACAAACATACATCCTTATAAAATATTGCATTTATATATATTTCTTGCATAAACCGGTAAACGAGCAGACGGATCACCTGATGGTTAGCAATCGGCGTCGCTCATGGACACCAGTAACACCAGAGGCGTTATAAGAGCGTTACTGGCCTTTTGGGGATTGGGAATTCGAGGATTGTTAAGGATTCGGGGATTCGGGAGACTGGAGAAGGTAATTGGGCCTCCGGTTACCTCACTCACACGACGAAATACAACGCAAGCGTTACTTCACGTCGGTTTTCTATGAGGCCGTGGTATCACTTTTTTTGATATGTTGTATTATGTAAAAGTAGATGTTAAATATTTTGTATCGTTTCTAGGTCTACCTTTTTGGGAGTAAAAGGGTGATATTTCCATATGCATGTGGAATGAAAAGGCTACTCTAATAAGAACTCATGATTAATGAATGGACTAGCCTCATGTTATATGATGGATCAGGGTTCTGTCATTATAAATACCATTATTTGGGAGCAAAGTACCTCTAAGAACATTATACTAACCTCTTTGGATGAGATTAGTGGAAAATGTAGCTAATTTTAATCGAAGAGTTTGCAATAGTATACAAACTTTGTATACACAGATGCTGGAATATAATCATATTATAAAGAGGAAAGATTTGTACCTATTTTTGTATGTTTGTATGTTTGTAATGAATAGGCTCAAAAAGTACTGGGCCGATTTAAAAAATTCTTTTACCAATAGAATGCTACAGTCTTCCAATTTGACATAGGCTACATTTCACTTTGAAAAAAAAAAATTGTCTACCCCGTGTGAAGCCGAGGCGGGCTGCTAGTAGTGAATATAATGGAAGCGAAAGTAGTATACTGTTTTAAGAACATTACCTATGCCCACTTCTTTGTACGAAATATCAAGAAACGTCCATTTAGAGTAGTTCTTGACGATGAGTATGATTACATAACGAGATATATGAATTTGATAGCAGGATTGTATAAAAAGGATTTTATATTATTATGATTATAAAGGTATAAATAAAAAATTGTTGTAGATGACTGTCTAAAGATTTTGCTCACTCTTTAGGACAAAATAATGAGCTTATAACATAACATAACATCACACCTTTTATCCCCGAAAGTGTAGGCAGAGGTGCACATTACGGCATTTAATGCCACTGTACAATGTAACCCACTTTTCACTATTAATGTCATGAGTCCCATGTAATAGGAGGTGAGCCTATTTGCATATACCAGGCAAATTTCCAGACTCCGTGCTACTACTGAGAATTTCTTTATAAAACCCAGTTATACTTTGCCCGACCCGGGAATCGAACCCTAGCTAGACCCCTTGCCCCGGCAGTGGCACTTGCGACCACTCGGCCAACGAGGCAGTCAAATGAACTTATATGTTTATATTATAAACATTACAAATTTTGGGTGATTAAATAAGTATATACCAGGCATGGCAGTATACTTCGAATTCCGCGTAGAAAATGCGTTTGTAACAAGTGAAACCAGTGAAACAAGTGAAACCAGTGAAACAAGTGAAACAAGTGAAACAAGTGAATTTATTTCTGCAAATAGGCTACAAGGCAGCACTTTTACACGTCAATTTTATCAAGCGAACGATGAAGTTCTTGTAGGTACTGCAACTATTTATTTATTCATAACTAGCTGTTACCCGCGACTTCGTCCGCGTGAAATAGCGACTTCTGTATAAATTGGGTTTTTAAATTAGTCTTTGTCAAGGTATATTCTACGGCTGTACAATTGGAACAAATATCATCACAATCGATTCAGTACCTAGGTTATATTTATTGAGAAATGAATTTATTTTCGTGGTTTCTAAAATAAACAATCCCATAGAGGTTTTACCCGTACAGTGCCCGTCTCGTGAGGTTTCACTATTCTATGTTTGCAAATCAATGTTGTATCGCATTTCAATCAAATAGATATAGTGATTTTAACAGCACAGTTCCCGGTTTCGTGGGTTTTTCGGGTTAAAAACTTTTAGATGTCCTTTCCCGGGTCTCAAACTATCGCTGTACCGAATTTCACCAAATAGGTTCAATGGTTTAAAAGGTAAGAGCCCCTCTTTATTTCAACGTCCTTAGTCCTGGTTTTTTAGCGCATAGTTTCCGTCATTTTGGGATTTCCTCTCTCCTATAATGTGACCTGATATGTACCGGTACGACATGCGTTACTATCGCAAACATTTAAATGAAAAAATAGGTATTCTGATATTAGGTTAGTTACATATGATACATGGACTTTAATGTTGATATTAATGTCCTCTATAAGACTTAATACACCCCTTTGGCTCTATTGTCCATAATTTCCACAGCGTAATCAATACCAATAATATAAGGAGTTTTTTTGGTGGTTTTTTACACATCGGGTTGTCATTACCTAAAGGAGATTTTTTTTGAGGTCGGAAAATCATCCAATCACTTCTCCCGCCTTGGGTTAGGTGAGAGGGAGTGACAGATTCTTACTGACTAAAATCCACTCCGTTCCTACTCCTGCTCGTCGAGCCGGAGCCCCGTCAACTCGTTAGGCCTCCCACGGCACCGTATCGAGCATCAGCCCTACTGGGCTCCATCTATGATGGTGTCATGGCTCTGTAAGGCGCGCGCAGTATGCACGGGACTGGTTCTGGTCGGGTGGCGAGCTACCCTTGCTCTTCGTCTACAGACCCGCACTTACGGTGGCCTGTGGTCGGCCGATCTCCGACGCCCAGAGTGTCTCCCGCGACGGCTGGGGCGTGAGGAAGTTCGTGCCCTCACGCGCTCCGCTTTCTCCTTGGCAAGCATAACTGCTTCGCAGAATGATGCGACTGCATCCCAATCCCCCTCGCTCCATGGCCTGAACCAGAGCCGAACGCGAGAGGTCACCGTTTCCTACATCCCTGAGAACACGGCGGTGCTCAGCCCATGCAAGGTACACCGCCACGATATGCTCCACCGTGTTCTCCGGGCGGTCCTCGCATTGATGGCCTCTCTAAAGCCACTTTTAAAGAGGGGACTTTCCGCTGCAATGACAGCGAGCCCAGCCCTCGGTTACCTAAAGGAGTGTTTCGCTGTGTAAGTGAGGTTACCGGAGGCCCAATTACCCCTCCCTCAGCCCCCCCAATCCCTGACAATCCTCAAATTACCAATTCCCAAAAGACCGGTAACGCACTTCTAGCACTTCTGGTGTTACAGGTGTCCATGGGCGGCGCAGATTGCTTACCATCAGGTGATCCGTCTGCTCGTTTACCGGCTTATGCCATAAAAAAACAGCAAACTATCATAGTGAATTTGGCCTTGACGGTCTAAAATGAAAAGGACTAATATTATTTTTTAGCTATGTGCATTTAGCTAGTTTTTTTGATATACATATAAAAAATACGAATTCAAGTAAACTGAAAATATTTTATTCGTGGTTTTATCTCCTTAGACTGCTGTCAACCTCTTTGCATACCTTAATATTAATACCATAGTATAAAAAAAATCTATGACACATTGACTTTGTAAACTCACTTGTCACACAAATCTCAGATGACTTAAGAAATGTAGAGGTATACTAATAATATAAATTTGTATGTGCTTGTTTGTTTGTTTGTCCGTATTTCACGACAGAACGGAGTCAGGAAGGTTTTTGATTTGAGATAGTTGAAAAGATGGAGAGTATCATAGGCTACTTTTTGTCTTTTTCTAACCCCCTTCCACTTCCGTGAAACAGAGGTGAAAGTTTGTATGGGGTATTTTGCAATTTTCAATGTGGAAAGCTAACAATTGGTATGCGGGTTATTTGTGACCAGCATAGAATCGTGCATCATTTCATTTTTTTATTGTAAATCCTTCCCTCACCCCATTAAAAGAACGCGAGAGAAGCCGCAGACAGAGGCTAGTCTATGAATAAATTGTATTCAGTCAATTGAATTCGTATTTTGTCTTTAAAATCTCTGATGCAGCTGAATACTAATATTATTCCTTGAAAACCCACAGAACTTCATTTTTATATGTTGATGCCAAAATATATTATGGAAGTAGGACGCCATAACAATTACAAATCATCAGGTTGGTTACCATAGTAATGTTACCTGTCAGATATCCGTTTTCAGGTTTTCAGATAAATCGTAATAAATAATTTGAACTTTATGCAGCGGTAATAAATTACAAATTGACTCTCCATTTTATTTAGAAAACGTTTGTATGGGAAATAGAAAAATGCTGTTTTGAGGATTTTCCCGGCAATTATTCGAATTTTTCTCACCTTTTAAACCTTCCCTAGACCTCCACGAATAATTCAAGACCAAGATAAGATAAATCCGTTCAGCCGTTCTCGAGTTTTAGCGAGACTAACGAACAGCAATTGATTTTTATATATATAGATATATAGATAGATAGTGTTCGACGTGATTCTTTAATTTGACGTAACTTTTTTATTTATGAACCGATTGACATGAAACAAACACTAAAGCATAACTGAAGCATACCACAATATATTCGTGAAAACCGCATCCAACTCGGATAAGCCGTTTCTGAGATTAGCGTGAACAGACAAACAGACAAACAGACAAAAAAAAAGTTTGTTACATTTTTGGGTTCGACATCGACATAACAATAGCCCCTGCTATTTTTTTTATTTTTATTTTCAATGTACAGACAGCACTTTTCAACAATTTTATTATATGTATAGATTTCATGTACTCCAAACAGTAGACAATATTACAGAGAACCCATCTCAAAGATTTATAGACAGCCCTTTTGGGTCCAAACTTGGATGAAGATCTCAATACTCGATACCTATTTAATTATTTATGACTTTACCACAAGGTGTAAGGTTTCTATCGATTAGCAGTAACAGTTGTATACCTTATTGGGTTTAACATAAATTACATTTTAGTATGTAATGGAATAGTATTCTAGCATTTGAAACAGTAATAAGTGTTTTGTAAATTAATATTTTTAGTTTTTAATGTCAGTTTGGTTAAACAATTGATATGCTTGTTATTTTTTTTTATCACAAGTCGGTAAACGAGCAGACGGATCACCTGATGGTAAGCAATCGGCGTCGCCCATGGACACTCAAAACATCAAGGCATTACCAGTGCGTTACCGGCCTTTTGGGTATTGGGAATTTGAGGATTGTGGAGAATTCAGGGATTCGGGAGACGGGGACTAGCGATGGGGGTAATTGGACCTCCGGTAACCTTTCTCACACGACGAAACACAACGCAAGGGTTGTTTCACGTCGGTTTTCTGTGAGGCCGTAGTATCACTCCGGTCGAGCCGGCCCATTCGTGCCGAAGCATGGCTCTCCCACACTTAGTTTACCAAATCCTCCATATATGCATTTTACTACTGAAAACGTTTTGATAAACAAAGTGTTTATTTTCAATGACTTCCAAGTAATTTATTACTGTCTATGAACTTTCCATCACAAATATTTAGACAGATACGACAGGCAAAGTTCTGTCTTTCTTTTTGTCCTCATTTCGAATTAAAAATGCGAAAATAAATTGAGTTGTTATCTCTTTACGCTGTATCTACTAAACCAGGTTTCTTTAAATTTCTCATACTCGAAGGACTTATGTTACCTTTTATGGGAAATTCTCTCTTTCAAAGTTGTGTATATAAGCTGGCAATCATCAGAAAATGTTAGGATACAGAATCAGCCTATAAATGGCCACTGCTGACCAAAGGCCTTTCATAGAGAATGTTTAAGCATTAATCACGACGCTAGCTCAATGCGGGTTTGCGATTTCAATCTTATAATTAAAAATTATAAGCCCAGGTTTCCTCACGATGTTTTCCTTCACCGTTTGTCAGTGGTGTCTAGATAATCTTAGAAAGTACATATAATTCGGGAAAAGTCACATTGGTACTTGCCGATAGTAGGTTTGGACCGTGGTTTTGCGACCCGTACTCTCATGCATGAAAAGCAGGCGCCTTCAACCTCCTCAACTTAACCAGGGTAAAGATTTAAGTAACCTACAATACATCATTTTTACATCAACCATCTTCTATTCCAGGGTACGAGAATCATCAAGGATGCTCCGAGTCAGGCTCGGTAGCATCAACTACAGAAAAGGTGGAACAGTCCTTCCAATAAAGTACGTGGAGATCCATCCATATTTTGATGATAGCCAGCCCATCTACGACTTGGCTCTAATCAGACTGCCTGAACCTGTAAGATTTACTCCAAGTCTGAGATCTATTAGACTGCAGAAGTCCTTCAAAGAAATTGATGCTACACATTTTATTGTGACTTCGTGGCCATTTCCTATGGTAAGATTTTGTTTTTTTTTTTGACCTTTTTGTACACTGAGACGATTTTTTTTTTAAGGGGGGAAAATCATCGAATGACTGCTCCCGCCTGGGTGAGGCGGGAGGGAGTGTCAGACTCTTACTGATTAAAAACCACCCCGTTCCTTCTCCTGCACGTCGAGTCGGAGCCCCGGTTACCCGTTAAGTTCTCCGCGACTCCGAATCGGCATCGGCCGTATTGGGCCCCATCTGTGGTGGTCTGATGGCTCTTTGAGGCGCGCGCGGAACGCGACGCGCCGTACGCTCGGGACACTGAGACGATAAGGTAGTGTTACGCACATAAAATAGCATGCTAAAAGGCTCCCTATAGAGTATGTCTAAACGCGACGATAGCTTTTGTCGTTGCGATTAAATAAAAATGCAAGTGGATTGTATATAAAATGTAATGAATTAAATAAGAACAGAAAAACAAGATCTAGGTATGGAATATGGCAACAAGAAAAAAAAATGCGTAAGCGCAGACGTGCGTATAGGCGTGCAACCGCTGACTGGCGCGACGCGGGGCGCGGGCTCGGCTCTAGACGCTCGTTGATGACAAGGCGATGTTGAGACAGGTGCCTCAACAATGTCCATAGATCACACGCCTGTCGATTCGCAAAGCATCCCCGAAATGAGCATGCTAATTTTAAGCAATATTACATATATGCTTTTTTTTGAGGGGGAAAATTATCTAATGACTTCTCCCACCTTGGGTTAGGTGAGAGGGAGTGTCAGACTCTTCCCAACTAAAACCCACCCCGTTCCTACTCCTGCTCTTTGAGCCGGACCTCCGGCAACCCGTTAGGCCTTCCGCGGCTCTATATCAGACATCAGCCCTATTGGGCCCTATCTAGGGTGGTCTGATGGCTCTTTGAGGATACAAATGCTAACAAGTGATAAGTGCTCAATTGAAGCATGCTGTTGTGCTTGAAATGAGCATGTGTATACTATCCTTAGAGTGTTTCAACAATATTAATATCACCTGTTATAATATTAGTTTCATTGTAAGGAAAGGGTCTCGAGTTCGATTCCCAGGTTGGGCAAAGTATTATTGGATTTTTTGAAACTCTCAGTAGTAGTACGGAGTCTGGTTGTGTACCAGTACATGGCAATAGGCTCACCCCCAATTACATGGGATTCATAACAAATAGGGAAAAGCGCCGTGATGGCACTTTATGCCACTTTATAGAGGTAATGTAACACTTAATGGCACTTTACACTTTACACCTCTGCCTACCCCTCCGGGGATAAAAGGCGTGATGTTATGATATGTTATGTTAGGACTATTGTGTTGCTATAGTTTGATATTATTCAAGACTTCATGACATAATATCGGATTCAAACCGCTTTAGTTTTCTATTGAATCCGAGACGCAACGTTGGTAGTCAGTGGCATATATAAAATCATAAAATGTTCTACAATGTTATTGATCTCTGGAATTATATTGATATTTGATGATGATCTTTTTTATGGCATAAGCCGGTAAACGAGCAGACGGATCACCTGATGGTAAGCAATCGGCGTCGCCCATGGACACCTGGAACACCAGAGGCGTTGCAAGTGCATTACCGGCCTTTTCGGTATTAGGAGTTTGAGGAGCGTTGGGGATTCAGGAATTGGGGAGATTGGGGAAGGGGAGGGTAATTGGGCCTCCGGTAACCTCACTCACACGACGAAACACAACGCAAGCGTTGCTTCACGTCGGTTTTCTGTGAGGCCGTGGTATCACTCCGGTCGAGCCGGCTCATTCGTGCCGAAGCATGGCTCTCCCACACTTAGACTTCTCTTCAATAGACAGAATAGTAAATAACTGCTTTAAATTTTCTCAAAATATTGCAAGACAAAAAATATCATGCAACATTCATACCGTTTGAAGTCCTCAGCTCAGTTCACAGAAAATGCAAATTCTGTTTGAATTTTCTCGAACAGCTTAAACGAGTGGATTTTAAGAGTATCCCTTCCAATTACAAGGCAGACGGCTCTCTTCTAATTGGAGAGAGATAGAAATAGTTTAAATTAACTTCTCGAGATCAAGAGGGTCAGTTTTAACAGGAAACGTAACAAAGTTAGGAAAATCGCTTAAAATCTTAATAAACTTTATACTTTGTTAAACCCAGATTGTGTTTCAATCTTTTAGATATTGGAATTTGTTTATATATTTGTACCAGTATTTTGTTGAAGCAAGTGATAACTAGCTTTAAGATTTCGTTTTATCCTTAGGGCAGGGTACGTTGAACTAGTAACGTATACACACGACCTCACAGCAGAGCATAAAATTTTTAGTTCATATTACATATTACTCAAATTATCACCTACAAATCACACAACAGAAAGATCATGCCTTGTGTAATTGTAAACTTTCGAATTTCACATTAAAACAGTCTTTTTTTGTAATTAACAAATGGCTGTGTGTAATGACGACACAGGAGAAAATCCTAGTGTGACGCAACAGATGGAAGCAACATTAAAGTCGGTTTAGATATTACAATATCTCCCTTGCATTAGCCATATTAACTAGACTACTAAAATAAAAATAAAAAAAAAAACATAAAATCTATCTATACAGATAAATAATAAAATCGTAGGAAAGTGAAAACTGTTAATAGAATTTTTGTCTGTTTGTCTGTATGTATGTCCGGGATGAACACAGAAAATGTTGCATGGATTTACTTAAAATTTTGCACGAATATTACTAACAGGTCGGGTCAACATATAGGCTACATATTATCATGCTATCAACGACGGGAGAAGAGCTGTGAATCACTATTCCACGCGGACGAAGTCGCGGGCTCAGCTAGTAATAATAATAATATAACATAACATGACGCCTTTTATCCCCGAAGGGGTAGACAGAGGTGCACATTACGGCACTTTATGCCACCCACTTTTCACTATTTATGTTATGAATCCCATGTAATAGGAGGTGAGCCTATTGCCATATACCGGACACATTTCCAGACTCCGTGCTAATACTGAGAGTTGTAAAAACCAAGTAAAACTTTGCCCGACCCGGGAATCGAACCCGAGACCCCTTGCCCGGCAGTCGCACTTGCGACCACTCGGGCAACAAGGCAGTAATAATAATAATATTCATATTTCAGTCCCGTCACGGCGAAATGACATCGGACTATTCGGACCAAATAAAATCGATGGAGCTGATAAAACAGAGACGAATCCTCTCAGTTACACATGTGCACCCGTCGGATGCTGACGACTGCACGGAAGAACTCATTTCTTTAGGTATTAATGAAACAGAAACTATGATGTGCTTGGATACTGGAGTTATGTTGGACCCTTGCTTGGTGAGAACATTTTATAATAGGTTAAATATTCATTAAACATCACACTGCAAAAACAACTGCACCCTATACAAATTAAACTGTATAATCGAATGGCATAGTTAAATCGTAGTCAAGGGTACAGTAGAGTTCCCTTTTTTTGAGGGGCTAAAATTATCCAATGACTTCTCCCGCCCGGGTGAGGCGAGAGGGAGTGTCAGACTCTTACTGACTAAAAACCATCCCGTTCCTACTCCTGCACTTCAAGCCGGAGCCCTGGCAACCCGTTAAGTCTTCCGCGGCTCCGTATCGGCATCAGCCCTGTTAGGTCCCATCTGTGGTGGTCTGATGGCTCTTTGAGGCACGCGCGCCGTATGCTCGGGTCTGGTTCTGGTCGGGCGGCGAGTCACAGTGCGCAGGCCCGGCAACGCACCTGTGACTCCTCTAGTGTTGCGGGTGTCCATGGGCGGCGCTGATCGCTTACCATCAGGTGATCCGTCTGCTCGTTTGCCTTCTATTCCATAAAAAAAAAACAAAAAAAAAATGTCCGTGCTTACGGTAGTTCCCTAAGATCGGAAAAGGAGGATCCTCCGACAAGGCGAGCCACGAGGTATTCATGGCTGGCTTTCTGCTCAACAGTTGTTCGTTGGGATTTTCTATCCGTGTTAATTCGCATGTAAACTTCACATGTCCGATGTAGGATTTTTGTGACGTCATCGGTTGTTTTGTTTTCATTGATGGTCTATGTGCGTGAGCTTTCATTTGACATATGTCATGTGGCGCTACAGTAAAATAGTAAATCGTAATATAGTGATTGTATACAGTTTAAACTGTTCAAGAATTTGCTTTGCACACCTCACAATTTAACTGTATAGTCAAACTGCATGTTACATGGAAGAGCCATGTTTTGGCACGAATGAACTGGTTAGACCGGAGTGATACCACGGCCTTACAAAAATCTGGCTTGAAACAACGGTTGCGTTTTATTTCGCCATGTGAGTGAGGTTATCGGAGGCCTATTCCCCTTTTTCAAAAAAACTGGTAATGCACATACATCTCCTCTAATGCTCCATGAGTAACGTGGACTGTTTGTTACCATAAAGTTACTTTTCTGCTCGTTTGATACCCTCTTTTCCACAATAAAATTTCCTTGATCAATCAATGCTACTATTATAAATGCGAAAGTTTCTATGTTTGTTAATCCTTCCCGTCGAAACGACTGAAGGAATCAGAATGACGGCCAACGACAGCGGACAACTAGCCGCGAGAGCGCGTCGCCGCTATTCCGCGAGGCACCCGGATAGCTATATAATAACATAACATAACATCACGCCTTTTTATCCCCGAAGGGGTAGGCAGAGGTGCACACAGAAATAACACCCACATTTCACTATTTTATGCTATGAGTCCTGTGTAATAGGGGTGAGTCTATTGAGAACACTTGTTTAGTTAATAAACGCTTTTCACTATAGTCTTCGCGCTTTCGAACCTCATTTCCATCTCACACCCTGTTATAGAGGCTGCAATAAAAAGCCCAATGTTACTCTGGCGCCCATGGAATAGAGGAAGAATATGATCAGGAACACACTAGCTGTATGTCGTGGTGGCCCGGAGGTTTAAGACGCCCACTTCTCATGCATGAGGGTGCGGGTTCGAAACCTACCAACGGCAAGTACCAATGTGACTTTTTCCGAGTTATATGTACTTTCTAAGATTTTTTAGACACCACTGACAAACGGTGAAGGAAAAACATCGTGAGGAAACCTGAACTTATAATTTCTAATTATAAGTTTGAAATCGCCAACCCGCATTGAGCAAGCGTGGTGATTAATGCTCTAACCTTCTCCGTGTGAGAAGAGGCTTTGCTCAGCAGTGGGCATTTATAGGCTGTTGATGATGACACTAGCTACTTTTTACCCCCATGGAATTTCGCCTGCGTTTCAGAAGTTAGCAGTTTCACTGGTATAAGTTCCTAAGCCATAACTTTACTCATAAAAACATACATTTTATTTCTTTTCCAGAGAGATGTAGGAGCACCAGTAGTATTAAACGACGTGTTATGGGGCATAGTATCGTCTTGGAGACCACCCACTTGTGACCCTGACCTAGCAGGACCAAGCTTTGCCACATTGGTCTCAGCTCCTACCGTTGATACTTGGATACATGATACTGTTGATGGACACAACTGGATAAATACTAGTGATGGAGAATAATTTATAAAGTATTTTGTTATTTTATATGCAGTAAAAGATCGACTTTGTAATATTACACTTGAAGCCAAAGTATTTCTTTTCAAAAAGATGCAGGAGCTTTTGAAACTTCATATAATAATTTTCAGTTCAAGGATGAATTTGTGAAACTAGGTGTTTGTGTGTGGATTATAACGATGATAGAGCCTAGATGCTATTAAATTAATGTTATTTTTCGTATTATTAATAATATATTTTGCATCACTTTCAAATCCTAACAGGTCCTTTATTAAATTTCCAATAAAAACTTAAATAATATTAAAATTAACTACCGTCTCTTACCGTCGTCGCGTGCCAAACCCTTTGGTTCCAGAACAGCTGGAACACCGGCGATGATAAGAGCTCGACGGATAATGTCGTTAATGCTGGCGTGCCTAGCTATCCGGCCCGCGCTTCTGCAACACGATAGGCCGCGGTGGCCGAGGTGGTCGACCATCTCACCGCATTGACAGCGACGCGGAGTAATTAATAATATTGTATTTGATATTCATATATCCATTTTAAATTAACTTAACGAATGTTGGTTATGGTTCTGTTTTGATTTGACCCAAGAAAAGACACTACAAAACTTATGTTTTTGTTCACATTTACTGGTAAATCCCTAATCCTAGCACAAAAACAAAGAAAGAAATTAACACATAAATTCACGCCTTTTATCCTCGAAGGTGTAGGCAGAGGTGCACATTATGCCACTGTACAATGTAACACCCACTTTTCACTATTTATGTTATGAGTCCCATGTAATAGGGGTTGAGCCAATTGCCATATACCGGGTACAATTCCAGACTCCGTGCTACTACTGAGATTTAAAAAAAAAACTCATTCAGACCACTCGGCCAACGAGGCAATCGAGAAACTATTAAATAAATACACACATAATACACAAACTATAAAAGAAAGAT